ATATATATATATATATATATATATATATGTATATATATAAAAAATGCCATGCCATGCTTTGCTGGCATGGCAAAATGACATCACATCTGAATCCAGACGTAAACACTTCAAGCATCTGCAGAGTAAAACCCAAGCTGCTCTTCGTGAGATGGAGAAGTGATCAAATAAGGCAATGGAAGTTCAAGGATTCGCAGACTCCAAGAACTCTCGCCAGCTCTTTTCAAGCTTGAAGGCAGTCTACGGGCCAGTCAAACCAACTCTGAATCCCTTGCTAGCAGTAGACGGAACAACCATTCTCAAAGAGAAGAAAGCCATCAAAATGGAGACAGCACTTTGACAACATGCTGAAAAGACCCTCCATTGTCGATCCTGTTGCACTCAACTCCATCCCCCAAAGCCCTTGACTTTCCTCCATCACTGGAAGAGGTAGAGAAAGCCATCAACCAAACTAGCACTGGAAAGGCATCTGGGATGGATGGAATACCCACAGAACTATACAAAGCAGCGGGCTCTGTATCAATTCAGGCCTTCCATAGCCTTATTACTGACACCTGGGATCAGGAGGACCTGCCAAATGAATTCAGGGATGCCACCGTTGTGCCTCTGTACAAAAGCAAAGGCAGCAAAATGGAAATTGACCTTACCAAGGCCTTTGATACAGTCAACAGAGAAGTCCTCTGGGTGATCCTAGCTAGACTAGGTTGCCCAAGGAAATTCACCAACATGATCCGCCTCTTCCACGACGGTATGACCGGCACAGTTCTGTCTAGTGGAGAATATTCAGAGTCCTTCAATATCACAAACGGTGTGAAACAGGGCTGTGTATTGGCACCGGTCCTCTTCAACCTGTTTTTCTCCTCGGTGCTGAAACATGCCACCAAAAACATCGACCGTGGGATCTACATAAAGCTCACTGTTTAATCTCAGGCGTCTGAATGCCAAGACCAAAACATGAGAGAGTTTACTAGTTGAGGCTCTGTTTGCTGATGACTGTGCCCTCATGGCTCACACAGAGGAAGACCTACAGTTCATTGTGGATGTTTTCACAAGCGGCACGGCTCTTTGGCGTTACAATAAGTTTGCCAAAACAGAGGTCCTGTACCAATCAACTACAGCAACACCTCCAAATATCACCATCGAAGGCACCCAGCTGAAGACTGTAGATGACTTCAAATATCTTGGCAGTGTCATAAGCAACGATGGCTCTCTTGATAAGGAGATCAACTCCAGAATCTGCAAGGCCAGTCAAGCCCTTGGACGACTTAAAATCCGTATCCTCTCCCGGCACAGCATCAAGCTCTCGACTAAGCTCCAGATTTACCAAGCCATTGTCCTCACCAGCCTCCTTTATGGATGTGAGACCTGGACTCTGTATAAGCGCCACCTGAAACTACTAGAAAAATTCCACATCAAAGGTCTCAAGTCAATTCTAGGCATTCGATGA